CCCTCCCTCCTCCTCCCTCCTCCCTCCTCCGTCCTCCCTCCTCACTCCTCCCCTCCCTCCTCCCTCCTCCCTCCTCCCTCCTTCCTCCTCCCTCCTCCCTCCTCTCATCCCTCCTCCCTCCTCCCTGCTCCCTGCCCCACTCTCCTCTCCCTGCTCCCTGGTCCCTGCTCCCTGCTTCCTCCTCCTGCTTCTCTCTCCTCACTCCTTCCCTCCTCTCCCTCCTCCTCCTCCTCCTCCCCTCCTCCTCCCTCCTCCTCCCCTCCTCCTCCTCCTCCTCCTCCTCCTCCTCCTCCTCTCCTCCTCCTCCTCCTCCTCCTCCTCCTCCTCCTCCTCCTCCTCCTCCTCCTCCTCCTCCTCCTCCTCCTCCTCCGCCTCCTCCGCCTCCTCCGCCTCCTCCGCCTTACCCTCCTCCTCCACCGCGCCCAAAAGACGAGACTTGCGGATGCCCACGCCGCGCGGAAATACGCCGACCGTTGGAGGTATCCAGGTTTGCGAAAGTCGGCTAATCCGTGGGGTAAAAAATTCAGCGTTCAAGGACGCGGTATCAGTCCAAGACGATCCCCAGAGAGCCCCCTGGACCGTCTTGAGGCTATCCTTAGGTCCTGAACCATCCAGGGCCATGTTCGATCACTCGTGGGCAGTCGTAGGCTCTCTGGGGGCTCTCTTGGGACCCTCTTTGGGGCCGCTATTCTGTAGTTTTCTACCACCCCCCCTCGGTCACGCTTCTTTGTAAGCGCTGCCCCATGCCAACAGTGATTGGGCGCCCGAGATTCTTCCCTGCGAAACACGAAGGGGTCGACGGATGTGGCGCCAGCCTGTAGAATCCACGTCCGAAGATGACGTGCTGAGCGGCAGCGTTTTTGGCCAACGCCTTACTGCAACGTATCTTATGCATCCAATGATTGCGTAATTGCTACATGTTGCACTGTGCTACATTACTGTGTCTCCCCCCTTTACCTCCCTTGGAGTCGCGCCACATCTGCATACCAATCTGACGACTCTCATTCTGGGGCTCAAAAACGTACCAAAACGTATGGAAAATGGAAAAGATCGGAGAACACGAGGGCCTCAAGACGGCTCACGATTGCCTCGGCGAAACGGGCCAAGGCGGCCCCAAAACGGCCCGAGATGGCCTCGAATGCCGCTGCGCCCGCCTCTGGGTCTGCCGAAGACTCCGGGTCGGGCTGGTCGGCGGCCGCTGGCTGTGGCTCGCTCGGGAGAAACCTGAACCCAAACAGGTTGACATCTCTCGGGGAGGCATGCTCCACCTCCGCCCCGGGCACCCCAGAACCCCACCCAGCAGCAAGAGGAAGGAGGCCCTGGGCGAGCTGCGGGGCACGCGCCGAACCTCGAGCTACAGTCGGCTCGCCCGTGCGCAACCTGTGCGCCCGCCCCCCCACGCGCGGGGGACGCGGCGGCGAGCAGCGGGGCAGCGGAGCCGGCCCAGATGGCCGCCGGGCCCTCCCTCTCGTTCGGACTCGGGGCTGCCAGACCTCGAGCTGGCTCCAGGGCCGGCCACTTCTGAAGGCTTGGAGGTGGCACTCCAACAGAAGAAGAAGCACCAGGGAGGAGGGAGGAGGGAGAAGGGAAGACCTGCACATACAACAACTGCCGAAGGTCTCCATGCGGAGATGTCTTGGCTCGGTGCCGGACCCGCCTGGCGAAGCGCCGCCAGCGCCACCCCTGGCGCGCTAAGAGACCCGCGCGGACCTCCGAACGTTGAAGGTTTATGCCGATGTGTCCTCTTCGATCCCAGGGGGGGCGGCAACCAGGCTGCCAGGGCCCAGGATAATTGGGGGCCCTCGGGGCCTGGGGGGGGGGATCCGGAGCCCTCAGCTCGTGCTGTCTGCGCCGTGACACCTCACGGCAGGCTGGACAAGTCTGCCCTCGGACCCGTGCAAATTCTGGCGGCGCCCACAAGGGGGTGGCGCGAGCGGGGTGGGTTTCTAGTAAGTAGGGGGGGGAGGGTCCTCGCCTCCGAAGCCTTTTCAGGAAAAGCAGGGGCAGGGTTCGGAGAAGCAGCCCCCTTGTCTTCTCAAAAGCCCCCCCCGGGACTCTCGGGAGCCCAGCCCCCTCGCGGGCACCGCCAAATGCACGGGTTCCCCCGGGGGCGTAGGCGACCCGAAGAGGAGGAGGAGGAGGAGGGAGGAGGAGGAGGAGGAGAGGAGGAGGAGGAGGAGGAGGGAGGAGGAGGAGGAGGAGGAGGAGGAGGAGGAGGAGGAGGAGGAGGGGGAGGAGAGGAGGAGGAGGAGGAGGAGGAGGAGGAGGAGGGAGGAGGAGGGAGGAGGAGGAGAGGAGGAGGAGGAGGAGGAGGAGGAGGAGGGAGGAGGAGGAGGGAGGAGGAGGGAGGAGGAGGAGGAGGAGGAGGAGGAGGAGGAGGAGGAGGGAGGAGGAGGAGGAGGAGGAAGACGGGTCGCCCAAGCTCGTCGGAGACACCCTCCACCGCCAACCACTGCAGGAGGCCCCTGCGCCCTCGGCCGCGGGGCCCCACGGCGTAGGAGCCTGGAGCTGGACCGCCGCCGCCGAGGCCGCGGCCGCCGGCGGCGCGGGGGCCCCCGGCGGCGCCAGGGCATCCTCGGGCAGCGCGGGCAGGACCTCGGCGGGGCTGCACCGCGGCGCCGACGCGCGGAGGACGTCCGATGGGGCTCGGGTGGCGGCGCCGAAGCGAGGACGGCTCGCGGGGCCCCAGGCCACCCTTGGGTCGGGCATGTCCCCCATACAGGCGGACTTTGGACATAAACATCAAACTAGTCCAGCAGTGTTCCAAAACTGTCAGAAATACATCAGAAGTCGCCCCAAGACGATTCTGGGACCATTTTTCAATATTCCTCCTGTAGAATGACGTGCCCAACCTAGGGCTCGGGCGGCGGCGCCGAAGCGAGGAAGGCCCGGAAAGGCGGTTTTGCTCGCAGCGCTGGCGCGTGCGAGCGCAACTGCAGAGCCCGCAGGCCGCGCCGTTCGCTATGGGCACACCGGAGCGGGGCGGAGAAGCACAGGACGGCCGCGGAGGAGGAGAGGGGAAGGAGGCCCCGGCCAAGGAAAACAGAGGCCATTATGCTTCACGATTTTTTGGTTTGGGGGGGGGGCGGCTGCTGGTCGCTCTGGGGTGTCTCGGGCGGCCCGGGCCGGGGCTCTATCCCGCGGCGCTTCGGGCGGCGATCGCGGGGCAAGCCAGTCGCCTGCAGTCTGCGCCTGATCCATGCAGATCCCGCAAAAAAGCCCTGGCGCGGAGAGGGGAAGAGGGCCCCGGCCCAGGAAAACAAAGGCCATTATGCTTCATTATTTGGGGGGGGCACTGCGGCTTCTGGTCGCTCTTGGGGTGTCTCGGGTGGCCCGGGCTGGGACTCTGTCCCGCGGCGCTTCGGGCGGCGATCGCGGAGGCAGGCCGGTCGCCTGCAGCTTGCGCGCCTCATCCGTGCAGAACCTGCAAAAAAAGGTCCTGGCGTGCCCGAGGCTCGCTCAATCGCGCCCGAGCGCACTTCCACATTCTTCCGGCTCGTCTCGCGCCCTCCGCCTGTGCATACCGATTTGGAAAAAGGGATGATCGTACCAATGAGCCTATCCGCATATGCCCACCCCCCTGGGGGACAGCGCCCGCACTATGAGTCGGGATGCCTCCCAGGGACGCGTGCGCCTTAAGGGCAGCGCACAGTGAGGTGAGAAGAAGAGCTGTGCAGGTGTGGCCACCGGCCAGGCCTGCACCGTCGCACAGACGATTCGCCACGGGTACCAGTGCGGCACTCCACGCAGCGGCCTCCGCGCCCACTGTCGGCGCCCTGTCGCGCTGCCTCCGCTCTTCTGCGCACAGGTGCCGGAGCACTGACCGGGGACCCAAGGAAGGGAGGGCAGTCCTCGACAGGAGGCTTCAAGAGAAGGGTCCCGGTCCACGTCGCCGTTCCCTTCAATGCTCGCTTTGCTGTAGCACCTCCACCTGCTCGGGTGCGAGGGCCTATTCGTGCTCGGAGGTGAAAATGCTGCACTCTGAAGGGCTAGGCGGCATAACTCCCTCCAACACGCACATCCTGCCGAGAACGCCTGGTTTAGTGTGAGCTCACCGCGGGTCACCACCCTGGAAGCGAGCGCACCTCGCTTCTCCTGAACTCCTGGGGGAGGTGGGTAGAGGGCAGCAGGACAAAGTGACTGGAGCATCTCGCTGTCTCGCACGTGCGAGATCGGCTCCGCTGGGCACGTGCAAGAGGCCGTGGCGAAAAAAATAATACCACGACTGCCTGCTGAGAGGCCGCAATCTGGCTGCGGGCCTTCATGAATGCCTCCTCGCAACAGGAGGGGCAGGGCAGAACAGAGCGAAGTCGCCCCCTGGCGGATGCTCAGAGCACGACCCCTTGCTTGTTGGCCGCTGGCGGTTGAGGGGCAAAGCTGCACTGGACAGCTGGGGCGCTGCTAGAACACGGTCCAAAGTCGGCGTCGACTTCGTTTCCCGGGTAGTGCGAGGGAAGAGTACAGACAGAGTCAGGTACGCACAATTCGGGCGCCGCGGCCGTTCCACCGAGATCAAGAACGTTCTGGGAAAACTTCGTGGACGCTCTTGAGCGGGCTGTCCCCATCCTAGACCTGCCTGGCGATCCCTCACGAGACAGAGCCTGGGACTGCACGCCGCGCATGCTCATGTACCAGTGTGTACGCATCGCATGCGTGCACATGCAACTGCACATGTACCGTAGACGATGCTGGCACCCTTAGCCTTGCCGATGCTGCATGTGCACGTGGAGGTCCGATCGCTTTGTACACGTGTATATGTGTAAACATATATGCGTGAAGTATGTGTGTAGTACACACACAAAAAAAAAACAAACAAACAAAAAGCTTGTACTACCGTCTCCACCGTGACTCGGCCCCTCGTCCTAGCCCCGAGCCGCGAGGTACGAGTTTGAGTTGGAGGGTCCTCAGGTCTCTCGAGTCCTCGGTCCCGTCCTCAGTCCTGAGGATTGAAGATCTGAAGGGGGGGAAGGGGGGGGGCGACCCCGAATTGCCAGAGTCTTCGGGGCGTGGCACGCGTTGCCGCTAGCCCTCTCTGGAGGCAGCAGGGCCCCAAGACCGGCAAGGAGTGTCCCAGGGAGGCCCGAGACGGCCCAAGGGCGCTCCAAGACGCCCAGCATGGCCTCCAAGACGGCCCACGAAGTCCCCAAGAAGGCCCCAAGAGGGATCCAAGAGGCTCCCCAAGAGGGCCCCGAGAGGCCACACAAGCATTGGTTGCCCGTCGGCTTTTGAAGGAATTTAGCGTTCTCGCCTTTCCGGGCTTTAGACGCTCCAGGACGGCCCAAGAGGCCTCCAAGATCGCTCCAAGACAACCCAAGGAGCCCCCAAGAGGGCCCCCAGATGGCCCAAGAGGACCCGAGACGGCCCAAGGGCCCCCAAGACGGCCCAAAAAGGCAACAACATGCGGAACTCGAACTGACAGTTCGCGCCCTCAGCTCTAGGATGACACTCGAGACGCAGGCCCCCAAGAGGCACCCAAGAAGCCCCAGGAGACCCGAAGGAGGCCCAAATCAGGCCCCGAGAGGCCTCCAAGAGGCCCCCCACAGGCCCTCAAACACCCCCAGAACTGCCTATAAGATGCTTCCGAAAGGCTTCCCACGAGATCTCCATAGTATCCAAGCGGCATCTGACCTACAACCCAGGCGCGGTGGCGGGTTGGGCCGAAGGCCACACGTATCCGCCGCCCCCTGACGGCTTGCCGCAGGGGTGTCTGGCGTGCTGGATGTTCTGAAAGGGTTCTTTTAGAACTCCCCCTGGGTCTTCGGCACAGCGCGCCAGTCACCCGAAGACCTGGTTGCAAAGGTTTCTACTACTCCAAATGTCCCCAAGACGGCCAAGATGGCCTCCAAGTTCACCCAAGATGGTCCAAGATGGCCACCAAGACGGCCCAAGAAAGTCGAAGATACCTCCAAGTTCGCCCAAGAAACCTCCAAGACGGCCCTAGACGGCCGAAAAGGCCCCCAAGAGGCCTCCCAGACGGCCCAAGGTCTCCAAGAGGTCCTCCAGGAAAGCGCGAAGAAGCCCAAAGCATTGACGTTGCTTCGGTTTTTGAATGATTTTGGCATTTGCTTCTGTTTGGTCTTCCGACGGCCCGAGACGGCCCAAGAGCCCCCCAAGATCACCCCCAGATCGACCCAGAGGCCTCTGAGAGCGCCCCCAGAACGGCCCAAGAGGCCCCCAAGACGGCCCCAAGGGGACCCCAAGACGGCCCAAGAGGCCTCCAAGACAAGACGCCCGAGATGGCCTCCAAGACGGCCCTGGAGTACCCCAAGAGGGCCGCAAGTCGGTTCAGAGAGGCCCCCAAGACGGCTTCCGACGGCGTCAGACGGTCCAGGAACCCCCTAAGACGGCCAAAGAGGCCCCCGAGACGCCCCCGAAGGCCCCCAAGAGGCCCAAGGATACCTCCAAGATGCCTCCAAGAGGCCCCCAGGAGGTCCCAAGAGTGCCCCCAGAAGCTCACCAGATGCCTCCTCCTCCTCCTCCTCCTCCTCCTCCTCCTCCTCCTCCTCCTCCTCCTCCTCCTCCTCCTCCTCCTCCTCCTCCTCCTGATCTTCCCCGCCTTCCTCCCCCAAAGTGTTCCATGAAAGGTTTCCACAACGGCTGAGGGAACACATGGTCCGATAGCTTAGCAGAACTCTGGCCACAACGTTCGGCCACATAGGCGATTCCAAAAGGCAGGGGGCGGCGGTGATTCGCCGTAGGCGTCTTCGATAAATCGAGCATTGCCGAATTAGGCCCAACCTCATCTGTGTAAAAGGGCCAATGGTATTGATGTTTCTAGGCTAGATCACTGGGGATGCTCACACCCTGGCTCTATGGGGGCGCGCATCCCCTCCGTTCCTCGGATTCCTCCCCACATTTAACAGCAGTCGCAACGCAACGCAACCCAAATCAACGCACACCAAATGAATGGAATACCGTGTCAAGCACTGCAAGCTGATGCAAACCAGGGAAAGCAACGCAAAGCAAAGCAACACAATGCAATGTGAAACATGCGACAGCACAGCGATGCACAACACGGCAAGCTAAAGCAAATCAATGCAATTCGATGCAAAGTAATATTAAGCCGAACAACGACATGAAATGCAATGCTAAGCAACTGAAGTGAAATCCAACGCAAGGAGGCTCACGGCAAAGCAGTTCACAGCATAGCCGCGCAAATCAAAGCCAGGCGGAGCAAAGGGAAGGCAGGCGAATGCGAACCAGACCAGTTCTACACAAAGTAGTACAGAGTCAAACACAGCGAAGCTGGGCAGCTCAAACAGAAAGCAATGCACATCGAACATGCCAACGCAAAACAAACAGCGTAGAACTGCGCAGATTCAGATGACCGGGGGACACCTGCTGGGAGCGCAGCCTCTCACCTGCGGCGCCCACTGCACACGGGACGAAGACGACGATGACGACATCCCCAGCGAGCCCCACGTGTCGAAACCCTCCAAGAAGACGTCCGCAACGAGCCGAGAGCCCCCCGAGAGCTGCGAAGCCCCTCCGAAACGCCTT